GGACAGGTCCCACCCACCACAGCTGTCAATCACTTCAGTCATAGGCCCCGACCCCAGGCGATCGATTTCCTTCATGTTGATACACGAGCGGTAAAATTCTTTAACCTGTGGGAGAAAATGACACGTTTTAATTAAAATATCCATTTACAAATATAATTTATTTGCAATTAAATAAATATTTTTATTATCTTAAAAGCTTAAAAAAAATCCTGTTGAAATTAGGAAAGTAATATATATATATATACACACACACACACACATACATATACCGTGTCTCCGGAGCCACCCGCCGCATGCGAAGCTGAAGAAGTCGTGACAGGGCTGGACGCTCGGGTCGACGTTCCCCTGGATGAAGCGCGCGGCCCGGAGCAGCGAGCGCCGCTTCACGCAATCCTGACGACACTGAGAATCCTGCGCTTCCAGCGACAGAAACTTCAGCGCCAGCATGCATCCGAGAATCACGCACATCCCCGCCGCGAACACTAGCGCAGAGAGCAGGCAGATTTCACGCCGGCTCCAGCGGGCCGGAGCCCCGCCCCTGGCTCCGCCCATGGCCCCGCCCACACACTTGTCCCGCCCACTCCGGCCACGGCTGCCACGGTCCAGGGATCCGCCCAGTTGCAGACTCATGCCGTTACTCAGCGTGCTGCTGCTATAACGACTGCCGTACTTGATCTCCTGGAAGTCGTCGTAATGCGCCGTGAGCGAGTACGTCTTCTCCATGCTGACTGACGTCTGCGCCTTCGATTTGTTAGGGAAGGTGTGGAACATGAGGTCACCAGAGCGGAAGGGAAGGATCTGGGATCAAAGTAAGGTCATGACCTTTGACCCTTTTGACTCTTGGGTCTGTATCCAAAGGCTTTTTATGTTCTTGGTTTTCTTTCTTAGTATGACCTGCTATGAGAGAGATGCAATTAATTAATTGCTTGATATAGTGTATAAAATATTACAATTTAATTTTGACTAGTGCTGTCAAACGATTAATCGCGATTAATCGCATACAAAATAAAAGTTTTTGTTTACATTATATATGCGTGTGTACTGTGTAGATTTATGTATATATAAATACAACCCATACAGTATATATTTTGAAAATATTTACATTTTTATTCATTTATATATTTATATTCTTATATTTTATATTATATATAAATATATTTAATATATAAACATAACATATTTTTCTTAAATATATACATGCATGTGTTTGTATTTATATATGCATAATAAATATACACAGTATACACACATTTATTATGTAAACAAAAACCTTTATTTTGGATGCGATTAATCGCGATTAATCGTTGGGCAGCACTAATTTTTACACAAAACATTAGAAATGTCAGTTATTTCTTTCGATTAATTAAGAGTCTGTGATACATTTTAAATATAGTCATTATTGCATTTATATGGAAACCATTTTATGTTTTTTACGAATTGCATTTTATTTATGTATTTATTTATTTATTTTTCTGGATTCCACGGTTTGTTTTTTTGTTTTAATTTTCAGTTTTAATGGTTGAATACAATTTTAGTAATCAAAACTAATCTCTAAAATTACTTAAATCAAATATTATTTAAAAGCTAATTAAAATAATGAAACTTATACAATTTAACATGAAAAGTTTAACAAAAATTAACATTTTAGGGCCCTATGAAATCCATTTTTTATTTTTTTCCCCAAATTCTCTGTTTTACGTTTTATTTTTCTGGATTCTGTTTTAGAGGTTTAACTAAATTTTAGCAAATCAATGAAATCAATTAATCTAATCAATTAAATTAATGAAACTTTAACAATTTCATCATTTATTATAATGTTTACAATAATACAGCCCTAAGAATTTTTTTTTTTTTTTCAGAAATTCTGTTGTTGGTTTTATTTATCAATGTACATATTGTCACTTCAAGCTTTTCCTGGAAATCAAAACAACGACCTTGTGTGAGTTAAATGAACGTGCTATATAAATGTTTTCTGTTTCACGTCACAGATGCCATTATATCGTGTGTGTTTTAGCTTGACTGGAACGCTGGAATGAACGATTAGCATTCAAAACCATCCGTTTCAGAAGTACTGATTAAAAAGCATGATTAAAAACGGATCTGTCCTTTATGACAAGTCTTTCTTCTTATTTTTTTATATGGCTTCTAATGCGCCTTCCTAAAGTTGTTTAGATTGATTTCAGAGACTCGAGCATCAGAGAAACACTGGCCAATGACTCAAAGGCCTGGATCGATTCGAGAGAGAGACAGAGAGGGAGCAGCGACTGATGGATGGAGAGAGGTGGAGAGTTGATGTGACTTGAGTGGGTAAGGAGAGAGTGAGGCTTAGCCACATTCAAACAGGTCCTCACACACACACACACACACACACACACACCACCCATCAACCACACGCTGGTAAACTGCGTCAAGCCTGCCAGACAAAGCTCACCTCCTGCAGAGCAACAAACCTGCTACTGGCTAATGGAGCACAACACACACACACACACTCAGTCTATAAGTGTCTGTGACCCGTTAAAAATACTAACATTTGTTTCCCCGGGATTAATGTTACATTCGCTAAAAGCAGCAAACAACAGAACATGAGGATTCACAAGCATCACATCACGCACCTGCAGCGCTTCTGCAAGCGGAGAAAACATAATAAAGCTAGGCTATATATCTATAGCGAATAAATAGGCCTATACGAGAAACTTATTTTTACTTAAATTATAAATTAAGAACATGTAAGAAAAACAAGTAGCCTAGTATGCAGAGTTTCGGTTCATTTTTGTGTGTCGCCGTGATGTAGCCTAAAACATTTTGTTTTACGTGGATATTGGAACGCGAGTGAAGTACATAATAAATAATAATTTGCCATTCAAATACATCGCGAATACGGAAACATTTGATTTTGTGTGTAATGATAGACCCAACGCTGGTTTCAGTTTCGTTTTAGCCTAAATTAATTCGTTTTGGCTTGTCATTTATATTGCTATAGCTTCTTATATTTTTAATTCTTTAATTCTTTTCTAAATACTGTTAATTGAAAGGATTTGTTTTGGAGGGAGGGGAACTAACACAAGCTATGCTTACAGTGTTTATTATAATGTTTGTAAACATTATGCGTCGGCATTAGGTCTATTTCGGAATGAAATAATAAAACGCGACTTGTTTTTTTCCCCCCTAAAAAGACATTTTTTATACGCGTAGCGTATTTTAACCATGCAGCAAACTGTTGTAAATATTTTGATAAATTACTGAAAAAAAAAATTATTAAATGACTTTTTAAACCGTTTAACTGATAGTATTAATTTTAACCGGTTACACGGTTAAAATGCACACACACACACACACACACACACACACACACTCACACTCAC